TTGCTCCTAACCTTGTCCAAGGTACAGCACATTTATTTTACCAAATGCCGTCTGCATACCTATGTCTTCCGGCGAAGTCAATGTCTTTTTTTCAGTCAGTCTAAATGGAGTGCCATGAATAAGAGTGAGCGCTGCCCGAGAAGGCCAATAATTGCATCCGAACGCTGAACTGCCGAGACTAACTAGAACGCCAGGTAACGGTCATAAAAGTACAGCTCTATCGAAACAAGCATATTTGAACAACTAGACCAATTCTGCGGCAATGTCCATCCCTGGCCGTTACAAATGACGAGAATTGGGCAACGATGTTCTGAGCGAGCTCAGCCTCCCGCGATATCATGACTCACAGCTGTCCGGTGTATGGAGCGTCGGCTCTAGTTGCAGTACCTACTTGCACTGGCAGATAGCCAAGCGCCAAAGGGTTGCAAAGACAGCCCAGGCAGCACAAAGTGCACACCTGCTGCTCGCTCCTTGGGACCCTACATCAGTGAAACCCATCGGCGTCCACAGCGGTGGTCTCCGTCTTCAACATGGGTCGACTCCATTGCAGATAGGAGGAGTTCGCGTCAGAGTTAGCTATCACTGTCTGGAAGGTCACCATTAGCGGGCTAAAAGGGTCACAAAGTCATGGCAAACTGTCCAAGCACAATGGTACTGGCACCTGCACACCGGCAGTCTTGTGTAGTCCAACAAATGGGACGGTCAATTACGCTCGGGACAGAGATGCTCGGCTGTCACTAAAATGGCATCAGTGATGGGACGTCATGGAGTCGCCCAAAAATTACATTAATATACATATAAGTTGTACAATGCTTAAGGACTAGAATCCAGTGAAACGTTTGTTAACGTGGCAAGGCAAGAAGCCGATACTTTGTGTTTAGTTGTCCGAGTTTGGGATAAGGATGCGAATATACGGCAGAGCTGAGAGCGCTACTCTCACATTCAAAGGCACAAGAAAAGAATAAATTTAAGCAAAGTCATAACCAGTTATTACTGAGGCACGACTGTTTGACGCCATTCCGCTCCTCTCACGACCAAGTTTAAATCCTAGTCCACATTGGTTCCAAATGGGCACTTATTCTGTAAATGTCGAGGACGTAACGCATGTCATGCAATACCAAGGCGACAGCAACGCAGTAACGCAGTAAGAAATATTAAACCATAGTTGAGGATCTAGCGGAAGCAGTACCCGGGGCAGAGCTATACTGAGCCTTTGGATCTCCCAATTCAGTTGAAATATCAACATGTCCAGGACTTGACCTGTGTTTTATGACCCACAGATGTCTACCCGGAGTTCGGAATCATTCTCTCATCTATAATAATCGGAGGGATGTGAGAAACTCTGTTCCTCCGACACGGCCAGACCGTGGCTGCACCGCCGGACCCGGCGGACCGCGCGGCGACCGCACCGCACCCCACCGGCTGATGGGCCCGGCGCGCCCTCTAATCTGCCGACGGCCGGGGGCGGAATGCGGCGGCGGCCGCGCACAAACAACAGCGGGGGAGGTTGCGGCGTGGTGGGAACCGAGAGCCGGCGCAGGAGCGTGACCAGCAGCAGGTCGACAGACCCGAGCTCCTCCGACGGCGCAGCGGACCACACCGGACCTCCTGACGCCGCCCCTGCGACATCCATCTCCGCCATCTACCTGGCCGACCGACTCCCACTGTTCGGCGCCGCCTGCCGCCGGAGGGCAACAAACAACCCCACCACGATAGGGGCAGGCCGGCGGCCGGCGAGGTCATTGCCACGGCGAGTCGGTGACCTCTTCTACTACGGTGTCCTGAGTTCTGTGGCTGTTCTGTTCTGCTCTGTTCTGTTCTGCTTCTGTCCTGTTCTGCCCTGCCATGTTCTGTGCGCTCTGTCCTGCGGGACTAGCCGTGCGTGCCGCGCCCGAGGCAACTGCCAACCGCCGGAGGCGCGGTATATAAGCTGAGTCCCGCAGTGATCCCCCTCCCTCTTCGCTCTCCACTGGAGTCTTGGACTGCCCGTGCGCGACTTGTGCGTCCATACCTCCTACCCAATATCATGTAAGTAAAAGGGTGCGGCCCTTATTGGGGCAGTGTATATATAGCCATGGTCAGTGTAATCATGTGTGCTTATGTAAATAATTACTTTGAAAACTTGCACAGTCTGTTGTGGGACAAATGGTGGGGGAGAGAATGAACGGCGAACTGAACTGAACGGCACCGAACTCGGCAAACGTAACCTAGAGCGGCTCGGAAGCTCAAACAAACGCTACCGACACAGTTAACTTCGGCACGCCACGCTACCAATAGTAATCCCAACCGTAGCAATGATAGAAATAAGGAACGTAACAACCTATAGAGAGAAAAAATAGTTTCACAGTACCTACGTACCTACAATGAAAAGGCGGACAGACTCCTGACCCCACATCCTACTGCTGTGACCCGTGCTTCTGTGGGTGAAGCACTGAAGCATCACGGAATCCCACAGGACCTGCGAGTCGACGAGGTGGCCGCTTTGGCCGCCGGGTACTGCAGCTCCCTGGAGTTGCCTGGGACCGATGGTAAAACAGCAGCTCCGACGGTGCCCCTATGAGCCGTAATAATTAGTGAATTCCCGTAATGTAGAGATCATATCCTCTATGATTTCCATTACGGTTTTATATTCCTAAGCAATATGACAGACCAATTATGCTTGCCTACGTAATCAGGCATTACCTCTGATGGTTAAACGCTCAGTACAACATGCGTTGTCTGTCAAACAACAATCGATGATGGGATCCTTTCTCGAATCATCTCTTAAACCATCGGTTGTCGATTCACCCACCCCGTTTCCCTAAAAATAGACGGTCAGATTCGGCCTGGGTCCTTACGAGTTACGACCCCTCTGGATTCGCCAGAGACGGGATCGGGTCGCCGTTATTGCACTCGTCTTAGTGTCTTTAGATACATACAGCTTCGACCATGGACGTCGGACGGAGTGATCGTTCTACGAATGTACGCACCATCCAGGCCTAGGATGCATCGAGGTTTATAAGACTGCAGTCTGTAGATCAATCAGCATAACAATGGTGGTATGCAACCACATTAGAAGATCTCTCCGGCTCCCGCAACGTTCCAACGCCCCTCCTCAGCTGCCGGACATTGGTCACGTGACCATATTTTCCGTTTGACCTTGAGTTGGCACCAGATTTTGTCGACAGATGTGGCGCAGCTTATTTTACTGCATTATTTTAGATGCTAAATATTTAGACTGTGGTGGTAAATGATACCGTGCAAATAATATTGAATCATCGGTGTCATAGCTACCATTGAAACTTGAATAGCATCAATAAAATACAATTAAACTATTATTACTCTTCCATTGATTTTATTGTGTTTGCAGGCATAGGTAGAAACTGAAGAGCTGAGCATGCAGCTTACCTACAGTTGTTCTTCTATAACTCTTAATGCATGATTCAATGCTACTGAGGGCTGCAAATTTTTTTCACTTATCTTTAATAACTTATACCCTACCTTCATCAACCATTATCTGTAAGAATCTTGCATCAATCATCACCAGACTTATTAGTTTTTTTACATACCTTACGCCCCGGCCGCGAGAGTGGGCGGGTACGATTCCCTCGCCCTAATTGAACTAGCCTCGCGGGAAAAACAAGCATGTGTGCCGTTACGGGACCGGGGACGCAGCGATTGATGCACGGTTAAAAAGTCTCAGGTCAACTGATGGCCTCTGAGGGTCAGGTCAAGTGCCCCGAGGGCCAAAATACGATTTCGGGTTTTGAGAAATGACTTTGCCAAAAAAAAAACGGCGCAGAGTCGCGATTTTAGTACCATCATGTTTGTCATGCTCCGGTGCTTCAAATGGTACACTTTTGTTTGGGTGGGGTTAACCAAAGTCAGGTCAGAGGCACTCAGGTCACGAAGTTGGTCGGAGGAGGTTATATCGTATATCATTCGATTCGGTACTTCTTCCAGAGTCCATTGGCGACTTTTCCGACTTGCCAGTTCAATTTTATCAGGAGTTATTGGCGAAAAAACTTGTGACCTTTGTGACGTCATAAATGACGTCACGCTAGGTTAAAGATGCAAAAGTGCAACATTGGACATTGCAAGAAGTGCATGAAATTGCGATTCCATGTGCTTGAGCTAGGTTTAGATCATTCTCGGCGTCAAAATTACAGTTTCCAAATTTTCCCCATTGACTTGTAATGGTGACGTCACGCGATCAGCCTGACCTCATGTGACCTCTAGGAGAAATCCGAGATATACGAGTTTTGATACTTCTATAGGATACTAGGTCCTGTAAGTATCAGCTCGCTGTGACAGCTCCTCTGGCACCGAGGGCATTGCGAAGTTTCGGTATTTTGGGACTATTGCAGAGGTTCACGTGTGGGGTCATAAGGCAGTGATCTGACCTGAGACGGAAATGCAATTGGTTTCCAAAGATGCGCATGGAAGCAAAGATAAGGTGTGCCAAATAGCAGCCCTCTAGCTGTAAGGCGTTTTGAGCTATCGCCAAAAGTCGTGAGTGGAGCGCTACTGACTCTTCCGGTCGGCCGCGGGGGGTTAGGAGGCGTGCAGGGTATCGGAAAACCACCTGGTACTTAGCGAATTTTGCCGATAAAAATACGTTTCTTATGCCGACTTATAGCCAAAAGACGACTGAATATCAAACCAGTCGTATCCTTGCACTAAATGGCTTGGTTTAGACACGATAGGTCTGAAAAGAAAAGGTCCCATGTATTATCTATGGGCGCCGCGAGGCCGTTGGCACCAGAGTTTCGGGAAGTGCCCTCGCCACAACCGCACGTGCAGATTTGGTCACGTGACCAAGCGCATTTGCCGCCACTGTATTTATATACACTGTGGCCCCTCCTTTATGCATTCGCCCGATGTGTCCGCCGAGCCGGCTTGCCTCCAATGACGTCATCGGCCGGCCGGCGGCGTTCAAGGTCAAACGGCTGGTGTCCTTACCTGGAGTTCTATAGCCTTGGTCTGTGCGTCGGCCTTCCTTTCGTCGGTCTACGCGTCCTATTCCAACAACAACAAGCGTCGGCCTTGGTCTGCGTTGTTGTGTGGGGCAACTGGCAAGTGTGGGGCAAGATTACTTCAGTTGGGCAAACTAGACTTTTGGAATCAAAATATGGAGGCATCAATAATTTGATTCTGGTGGGAGGAGCCATGACCAAATATGGGCATGGAATCAATTTTTTGATTCATTTGGGTACACTTTTGACTTCAAATGTATCGTTACGGTTGAAAGAAGGCCCATGACGGTGAGATTTTTCTTGAAAAAGGTAGAAAAATGTGGTAGGTTTGCAAAAAGTGTTACCTCAAAACTAAGAAATTGTCCCTTTGGCCTTGTGAATGGGGAAAAGACAGAGGCACTGTCCATCACGTAAAAGCTGTTTTGAGGAAATCACACTGCATGTTATTTTTGTATCATGAATCACATACTAAACAATCAGTATTTGTGTAAAATGGCAAAATGAAATTTTCAAATCCCTAATTATCATTGTTGTAGTGCTTTTATATACATTATATGGTTTTTACCTGTTGCTTCAGTTTTTGTATTCTTGACATTTAAACATTGTGAATTGTTATCAAATGTAGTGAAGGTAAAGTACTACAATGCTATAGGTATCTGTTGTGGTGCTGAGGATACCACTAAATGAGAATAATAGCAAAATAAATGCTGTATTCTTGCAAGTCATTGTTGCCTATCTGTTAACATTACCTGTGAATCAAAATAATGATTAGCCAGCTGATGGGGAATCAATATTATGATTATCTGTTTTAAGTGAATCAATTCCTTGATTGCCTTTCACTACCTGCTGATGAGCTGATGAGGTGGTCGGGCTGTCACCTCTGCATCGGTAGCCCTATAAACACAGGTCGGGTGGGAGGGCTTCAGTGGGATAAGCTTAGGATGGTGGTTAAGCCCTTTCCTCGTCACCCGCCTCTGTCACCAGTTTTCTTCTCAGCCTCCAGAGCCGGTAGAGTCCGTCCTTGTTGTGCTCCATCTCTTCTCTGTCATCGTTGAAGAGGAATGCCTTTAGTACCTCGTTGGGTTTTCCTACGTGCGGTCTCAGAAGAGCTAGGATTCGTAGTCTTTCTTCTGTTAGCTTGGTACATTCGAGCATGAAATGGACTTCGTTTTCTTCCTCTTGTCCGCAGAGCACACAAGTCGTGTCTTCCTCTACATGTCTTCTTCTGGCTCGTAGTGGTAGAGTGTTGGTCCTGGCTCGGAAGAGGATTACTGAGGACGGTGTGTTGTCGTATATCGGGTCTTCCTTTATCGTTTCCTTGCCTGACCGGTATATGGCTATGCTGGTCTTAGCTTCGAGTTCTTCTTTCCACTGTCTGTCATCCCATTCCTTTATACGTTTCTTCAGTGTAGTTTTAGTCATTGTCTCCAGTTCTGCATATTTCGAACCAATGGCGTCTAAGTATTGTTTTGTAGTTTTTGCCCATATGCTCTTCTTTTTCTCGAGTTCTACGTGTACTACTCTTCTTATCAGGTCATTACTTCCTTGAATTATCCCTCTTAGGTACTGTAGGTGTCTCTCCATCACTCTAGTTTTCATGAGGGAGGCTCCCACCTCACCTCTGAGTGTACAGATGGGCGAATACCTCGGTGCTCCCAGCATCTGTCTGTATACTCCATTTTCACATATCTGGAGCTTTTTAATGTCTGTTTCTGTAAGGCTAAGAATGCTTGCTCCATGGAGAAAGGAGGGGAGTGCCAGACACTTCCAGTAACATTTGCCGATCATCAGCTTGTTGCAGCATCTTTGTGTTATGCCATATGTCATATTGGCCATTTTCTGGGCTTTCTGGTACATCTCCTTTATATGGGCTTTAAACAGTTTCCTCTTGTTGATTACCGTAACTCCCAAGTACTTAATCTTGTTGACTACAGGGATGTTTGCAATGTCTTTCGGTTGGTCCTTGCTGTTGAATACGATCACTGCGCTCTTGTCCCTGTTAATTTGTAGGCCAAATGTGTTGCTGATGTCCGCCAGAATCTCCAGTAAACATTCTGTCTCAGTAAGGGTCTGTGATAACACAAGGCCATCATCAGCGAAGAATAGTACTGGAATGTAGAAATTGTCGTTCTTGAAGCCCATTCTTGTCTCCATTAAGGTTTTGGCGATGATGTAGGTTACTATCTTGAAGCTTGTGGTAGAACCGTTACACCCCTGCCTTATTCCTGATGTGACTTCAATAGTTGCTTGTGTCTTGTCATTGAGCTTGATGGTTGTCGAGTCACCTTGGTAGACTTGGGCAGTGGCTTCGATGATGCGTGAGTCTATCTTATATGTCTTCATAGCCTCTATCATTTTGGCTCTGTTGACGGAATCAAATGCCTTCTTATAGTCGATTGCTGTCAAATATAGCGGCTTTTTCCTAGCAAAGCTGTCCTCGACACAGTAGCCTATAGACTATAGAATTGTACTACCTATAGAATTCAAATTGTTATGACAGGAGCAATATTATTTTGCTTAGGAGATACTTCCAGCATTTCTGTTCAAGATCAGGCATGCTCCTTCTTGAAACACTCTCTTATTTTTATGTGTTTGGCAAGTTAGAAATGGTCTGCATTTATGCCCAAATATGGTCATAAGGAATCAATCTTTTGATGCCTCCATATTTTGATTCCAAAGGTCTAGTTTGCCCAACTGACTTTACTATTAGTTAATGTGGGGTGGTTGCGTTGTTACCTTGCAAGGCCCTCTCTAACCTTACCTTGTTGGGTTTTGGTTGGGTTCATGGGAGTTCCGGGAGTTCTCTAGCGTTAGGCTCGTGTTGGAAAGCTTGGGCCTGCCCGATGCTGATACTGGCTAAACTTGTAAAATTGTTGACTTGAAAACAGATAAACTTTTGTGTTTTCAGATACTGGCACGCTCATAACAATAAGATCAAGATGGCTCACCGCTGCAAGGCATCTAACCAGCTCAATGACTTCAAAAGGACCTGTGTGGTATGTTGTGTACTTTATGGAGAATGATCTTGCTTTGTAAGATTAGCTCAGCTGTAGTTATATTTAAATAGTTTACAGTGACCATTCTGATTCTTTTCATTTCTTTCAGATTTTGTTTTTAGACTCAATTTTAATTGCATACTCTAGGTAGCAAAGTGCTATCAAGAATGATAGAACATTTACTAATATGTCCCCTTTTACATGCTACTGTCGCAGGCTCCGGAACAATGCACCACCAGCCAGGGTCACCCGATGGACACAAAGACGGCATCCCTGACAGCTGGGCCACGCGGGCCGCAGCTCATCCAGGACCACAGCTACATCGATGAGATGGCCCACTTTGACCGGGAGAGGATTCCAGAGAGGGTGGTACATGCCAAGGGTGCAGGTAGGTGTCTCATGGGTCGCCTGCTCCTGCCTCTAGCCCTGGAAGCAGGGTGTCCTCTGATTCAGGACTGCTGAGTATTGCAGAGAAGTTGATGAGCTGGACCAGCTGCACCAACCAGGCTGGAAATCCATGTTATCTTTTCCAGAGTAGGCCTGAAAATTTGAGATATAATCTGAGTTTTGACTTAATTGATGACTATTTTAAAATAGAATATGTGATTGCTGACTGGCTATCCCCCTCTGATTATCAGATACATGATTCTATTACATGGTGGTGTGCTAACATCATGCACCTCAGTAAGGCCCTTAACTGCTCAAGTGACAAGCGATGCGCGAAATACTGCAAAAATCTGCAAAGAAATATTCTTGGTACCACGGAAATCCTCGCTGACTGATCGTCGATTGAGAACTGATCGACCATGCAGAAGACATCTCTCTCTCTCTCTCATACATTTTCATATTGCGCACACCCTTGGCGAGAACTAGCTGGGATTGGGGAGCTGAGTGTATAACACGGAAAGGCTGATAAAACAGCTGTTTGGAAGGAAGATAACGATCTCATCGTTGATTTCCAGTAACGCACATGAATGGGTTTATTGGGAGTGTCGTCCTCTCCGTCGTCTATCCGTCCAATCCCCCTGACTAACCGGGGGACTTCTTGTGCCGCCAGGTGCGTTCGGCTACTTTGAGGTGACTCACGACATCACGCGCTACTGCAAGGCGTCCGTGTTCTCCGAGGTCGGCAAGCGGACGCCGCTGGCAGTGCGCTTCTCGACTGTGGGAGGCGAGAGCGGCTCTGCCGACACCGTGCGCGACCCGCGCGGCTTCTCGCTGAAATTCTACACGGAGCAGGGCAACTGGGACCTGGTCGGAAACAACACGCCCATCTTCTTCATTAGGGACCCCATCCTCTTCCCCAGCTTCATCCACACGCAGAAGAGGAATCCTGCTACTCATCTGAAGGTGAGTGGGTCTCGCGAAAGTTGAGCGTTAGTCTGGGTCGGGCTGCTTTAGCTGATGCATTGTAAGATCAATGGAGCTGCGATTTAGATATGAAAATGGGTTGTTAAAGGCATGATAAATGTGAAAGAGTAATGCGATTCTTCGTACCTAAGAATAATTGAACGATCCTTGCATTAGTTGGCTATTATTTGGCTATTAGTTGGCAAATATGCGCCGTTAACGTCGTGCGTTTCCAGCCTAACCGTTACATAAGGCGTCACTGCGTAGTTGTCTGGCGTAGGTAACTACCAGTCCACTATCCAGTTGAGTTTTTGCACCCTGGTGACCTCCGCCAAATAAACCACATGTTTTATAATTGATATCCTTCAGATGCCGCCCCAACCTGCAGTGCGTCCCCTCCCCCCCCCCCCCTGCAGTGCGTCCGTGGGTGTGTCTGGGAGGGTCGGAGTGACGACTGGGAGGGGTGTGTTTGTGACGCAGTGACTGGCCAGCGGGACCATTGGCCTGGCCGGGGGGGGGGGGGGGGAAGGGGCTCGCCAGGTCCAGATAATGTAAACGATCCTATACATGGCTCCCTGGCTACGGTCGGTTGCAGACCGGCTTTGTGTGATGTGTTAAATGACCGTGAAGCCATTTGGCTGTTCTTTGAACTAACAGCTGCTATGAATCAATTTCATATTCTTATCCCAACGTTGATTTTTCGGATTTTGTGTCGACGCTGCTTTAGATTAGCGAGTTAGTGTTACTAGAGATGCAAGAGACGTCTAGTAGATCGTGGAAACAAAAAGGCGCCGGGACATGAATAATACGCTCGCAGAGGAGTGAAACTGGCTTTCAAAGTGCTCCAGAGCGCCATACTCTTAATGAACTCCGATAGTACCACTATTTCGCCGAATCTATGCATAGTTTCACGCCGATTGGTGTGAGAATCAGCAAGGGAGCGATGTAAGTGACAGACTTGCACCAGTCATAACGTCAGCCAAGGCCTCATCGGGTTATATAAGCTGATATGTACTGTGTACAAGGCGAGAGAAAGTTGGATCTCGAGACCGCATACGGAGGTCACTGATACGGATAGTCCTTCGATTTGATCGAATCATATTTCTAACCAATTCTGGCGATCAGTTTCACATGTTGCTGCATCCCGCTGGCTGTAGAGACCGGGTTAGCTACTGAGTGAAATACTGCCGACTCATCTCCTCGCCACATGTCTGCAGTGTTTTGTCGCCCCTCTGGCGGTGGGCTGGACCGGGCGGGGGAGGGGTGCAGGGACATGTAAACACACCCGGCGGACGGTCACGTGCCCGTGTCACGTGACAGGACGGCGGGCGGCCGCAATGGTCACGTGGCTCGGTCCAGGAAAGGGCCGGTGCTGACCAAGTTTCTTAGTTAGGACATTGTTTCGGTGGTGTTTTTGATGAGACGCGTTCCCCGGAGCAGTGTGCCGACGGATATGTCCGCTGCTTTCGCTTTCGACAGTAGTTTCTCTGTTTTGTCATCAATGAAACACTGGTTCGACGTCTTTGCACCGGAATCACACGATGAAACGTCAGTGACAGTTGACACTGTGATAAAGTTTCATCAACATGAAATCTGAATATCATTGGATCGTATCACTTAGAATGCACGTGACTATGTGGGTCACCGGATTAAGCCCGTTCAGAAATTGGTAGCGGGAGCAATTGGAGGATAAGGTGCCAAGGGAACCGGCGCAGATAGGATATTGCATTACAATGTATATAACGGGGGAGTCACCTGACACGTCCTTACTTTCCACCATAAATTTTACCCATCCTGGCTCAATGGCTGACGCAACTCGGTCGTCTGCCCGCAGCACGCGGCCATGTTATGTGACTTTATCACGCTGTGGCCGGAGACGAGAGTGTCCAGCAATGATCTAACGCGCTGTATGTATGTATGTATGTATGTATGTATGTATGTATGTATGTATGTATGTATGTATGTATTGACACCAAAAGCCTTCCACATATGGTGTGGCGATTACGCTGACCTCTCTGTTTTGTCAGGACGCCGACATGTTCTGGGACTTCATCACGCTGCGGCCGGAGACGACACACCAGGTATCGTTCCTGTTCTCGGATCGCGGCATCCCTGACGGTTACCGGCACATGAACGGATACGGGTCGCACACCTTCAAACTGGTCAACGACAAGTGCGAGCCCGTCTACTGCAAGTTCCACTACAAGGTGAGCGACGGCGCCGCAGACGCAGATTTAAGGTACGTTATTTGAATATGTTGTGATTGCCAACACTCCCTCACGGAGGCCGGCCGGCCAGCGCCTCTGTTCTGTGACACTTATATGCGACAAGTGGTTGGAGTGGCGGTATTCCTAAGCCATTTTTTTCCATGCTCGATATCTGTGATATATGGTCACTGCTGTTAATTGGACAATGTCCTAAAATTTGTCGATTTGGGTGGGAAACAACATCCAAATGAAATTCATTTTCCACCCTCAACACCAATTTTTAAGAACAATTTTCCACTCCCTACCAAGAAAACCTAGATTTTTTACCTATAGAAAGAGCAGTTGTGTGGGTGCCCGGTTTAGCATCAAACATTCTAAAGTGCTACACCCTAGAATAAAATGCATGCTCTTTGTTGTTCATCACTCTTTTTGGATCTAATCGAATCAGCAGTTTTCCACTCTCTCCCCTCTTTTTGGTGGGTAATTTTCCCCTCTGACACCCAAGACAAAACTCAGTTTTGGGACACTGTAATTGGATATCCGAAGTTGTCATGTTTGAGTGCCTCTGATAAATTTCCCATTTTCTCGTTTTATCTGGTCCAGCCAGGTCAGATCGATTGTCATTGTCAGTCGTCACCTTTTGTAGTTACTAACCACAAAGTTTGGTCAAGCCTCCATAGGTAATTCTCCACTGTATTCAGCAGCCCATGGCACAAGTCCAGACCTGCTACATCACCATACGTGGGCCACCTCCCGTTGGGCCCCTCTCATGTCAACAAGCGTCTGCCGCCCGGCACCGAGTGCCAGTACTCACTCTGACCCTGTTTGACCTTGGACGCGGCGGCGGCCGAGTCTGTCCTATCGGATAGGTAGTGCACCAGCCTGTTATGGGACCGCTGTACCTTGCCCCCGGCCGTTATCTCCGTGGTGGGCTTGCCCGGTGACAGATGTTCCACGGGGGTCACGTGGGGTCACCCACTGGACGCACCCGCCTGTCTAGCGAATATTTCCTGTTCGTAAATGGTGCTGTTTTGATATTGATTTATGATCATGATAATATCGTATGGGGCTTCCTAAAGTTCAATGTTCTATTACATCAGGCCTAGTGAAATGGATTTACCGGCACGAAACCGACAAACACTCTGTAATTTTGAAAACTCTTATTACAAAAAAAAACGTCCCGACCAGTATGGATCAATGCGATCGGGAGGTGGTTTGCTCTAAATATCTTCGCTTGCGTCAGTTGTACGTAAATCAGGACGTTTTTGGTCGCTGGTGAATGTGGTATCGAATAGTTATCAGCCAGGGTTGACGCAAACCTGCAGATCCCGTCGCTAAGCCTCTGTAAGAAGCGATAAATCTTCATATAACGGCAGAGAGTCCTATATTTAGATCGGTAACATTCAGGAGATGTATTGTAGGCGTGCCTACTTGATTGGTATCTCGTTTTAGCTTGCTTCTTAGGATATTCTGCTACAGTCGTCTAACTGGCCAAAGCGTTCAATACATACTTGCCAAGGCTTACTTTCGGCGTCACTTATAACTGGTACGCCTCCATCCAAGCAAATTCACAGTACCTACTCTTAGTCGGACCACCACATTTATATGTCTGTGTTATACAATCCTCTCCGGTGCGTGTCCCGCAGACGGACCAGCAGATCAAGTGCCTGCCGGTGGACAAAGCCGCCGAGCTGTCGGGCTCCAACCCCGACTACGGCATCCAGGACCTCTACAACGCCATCGCCGACGGCAACTTCCCCACCTGGACATTCTACATCCAGGTCATGACGTTCGAGCAGGCCGAGAGCTGCAGCTTCAACCCGTTCGACCTGACCAAGGTACGCGCGCGGTACGGGAGGGTGGTGTCATCTCCCGCTATGTACCTGCCAGGGGGCGGTCGCAGCGGTGCCTGTTATGAGAGATGTTTGGTAGCTTAACGGGGATGCTTTATGAACGCTGCTGGTTTTTTTTATTAAACAGAATGAATCAGTCGTTATAAGTTGGGTGCGATATGTGTTTTATTTTGTTTTATAATTACTGTTCTGTTCATCATGATGGTTAGTAGTGTTAAAGGGACCCTCCCACCTTCAAAAAAGTTAATGAATTGGCAAGAAAGTGATGTCGCTCGGTTCAGAAAGAGCGAAAGCGAATATCTACCAAATTTCATCGAAAAACATCCACCGGTTTTCAAGATATTATACTTTTACTTTTGTTTACTTTTTGGGATCTCCGCTGTTCCTAATGACTTTATTTGAAAGTGCGGCATTTGTTGCGCGCAAAGCAACATATACCACCGCGTGCTACCAAACGTTTTAGTGAAAGATTTAAAAATCGTTAGACCTCCGCTGACGTCACAAATTGTAAGGGGACATTCCAATCATTAGCCCCTTAGAATCCGAAAACCGCAAATTTGAAATAACATATATCTCCGAATTAAAACATTTTTCGATGTTGTGAGTGCCCAAACCGGTATTTTCAGGCCATGGCCACCAATTTGGCTATCTCAACTCAAAACTAATGTTAAGATGGGATGGTCACTTTAAGTAATTGCTATTTTATGCACCAGCTCTACTGGCTGCTATCGTTCCAATCTCAGTTGTCTGCTAAGACCCTGTCCGGCCCGACTGACCATCCCACCCCCCACCCCATCTCCCCCACAGATCTGGCCCCACAGCGACTACCCGCTGATTCCTGTCGGAAAGCTGGTGCTCAACCGCAACCCCAAGAACTACTTTGCCGAGGTGGAGCAGCTGGCCTTCTGTCCGGCCAACATGCCGCCCGGCATCGAGGCCAGCCCCGACAAAATGCTCCAGGTAACAGACGATATACTGTTGTGTATTTTATGCTGTTTTATGACAAATATGAGTTCAGCACAGGCATCAACTTCAAGGCTGTCGTGAAACAACCTTGTTAGGCTGCATGTCTTTCAACCGCGTTACCGAAACCAGCAGGAAAATCATTACAATGTCGTTTGTAATGTTCGAGTTTTGGTCGCTATGTAAGAGGCTGAGTCCGTTCACACTCTGTTCCCCGCACGTCACTTGGTATTCCAGGTCTGACTCCATTCCCCTTCGAGTATCTTCCACTGACATCTCCCCACAACTCCTCCAGGGCCGCCTGTTCTCGTACAACGACACGCACCGGCACCGTCTGGGTCCCAACTACATGGCAATCCCGGTCAACTGTCCGTACCGGGCCCGCGTCAGGAATTACCAGCGAGACGGACCGATGTGTGTGGACGACAACCAGGCCGGGGCGCCCAACTACTTCCCCAACAGCTTCAGGTGAGGGCGGAGTGACAGCGCGCGGGGGGGGGGGGTGATGGTCGGGACGTTGATGTTCACTATTCAGTGTGTATGTGGGTGGGGGGAGGTAGTGGAACTGTTGAGTGTCAGTTGGATGGGGGATGTCGTCACAGCTGGTCACACCCCATCCATGAATAAGTGGTGAGTGATGACAATATGATGAGATCTGTACCGTGATAATGACGTTACATAAAGTCGTGAGGAGTACCTATGTGGAAATACTTACTGCCTAAGGCACAACTAGCAGGCACTGCTTGTCGTAGAGCTCGGGCCCACGGCCATCCATTAATCCATTCGGATACATTTTATTATAGAAAAAAGCAATTCGTGATAGCCGGCCTACACCCTTGCCCGTCGGCCGGTCCAGCAAGGTAACTATCATCTCCTACCCGGCCTCGTGAATACCCGTTCGTTAACCGACTGACCTTTCCTTATTCACAGCGGCCCCGTGGAGAATGCGGTCCACTCGTGCTCGCCGTTCCAAGTGACCGGAGACGTGCGACGCTATGAGACCGGCAACGAGGATAACTTCTCACAGGTGAGCACTGCTCGATTCCTCACAGAAAGAAGGGGGAAAACAGCCGAGAGCGACAGAGATGGGCAAAGCAAAGGACAGATAACGACAGAGCGACATAATATGGAGAGATAATTAGGGATATGATAGTAATTTTAAGGCTAGATAGTTATAGATGGGTTATGATGGTATTTTGATGATAGGGAACTTGTTCAGCGTTCTCGGCGCTCGGAGCGGAGTGCCCGCTCAGCGCTCGGTATGTGACGGCTTCCCTCCCTCCTCCCAGGTGACCGTGTTCTGGAACAAGGTGCTGAACGAGGCCGAACGAGAGAGACTGGTCAGCAACATAGCCGGACACCTGAAGAACGCCCAGATATTCATCCAGGTAAGGAGAAGGGGAGGAGAGGTAGGGGCGAGGAGGAATGGAGAGGGAGGAGTCACGGCCTCCGGGAGTACCGAGTTCGATGAGGTGAGGAGGTATGTGTGATTGCGTGGATATATGTGTCAAACTTTTTTGTTGAAGCTAGTAATAGTAAGTATGATTCAGCATTACAATTAGTAATTATCACTGATCATTGTTGGGTATCCCATATCCAGTCGGCCAAGTATGATTCAGCATTATCAGTTATCACTGACCATTGTTGGGTACCCCATATCCAGTCTGCCACGGTTGCTATGCGCACTGCACAACTACACACCCCTTTGTAAATATGATTGTCGTCATTACAGCTCGATTGAAAATGAAAGTGTATACATTCACCAGAATATGTCCACTATCCACTATCCAGAAGTTTCTGCGGTGTCAGATGTGGGATATAGCTGCTTATTGACGTCACCATACTGCGCTAATGGAGCATTGAAAGGCCGCTGAGTGATGCATCACTGCATGTGGCCGGTGCTCTGCTGATGGCCTATCCTGAAACATATCGGTATCACTTGCATCCTGGTAGATAGGACGCTATGTGAAATACGATATTCGGTGCAGAAAGATGTCGCCACTGATGTAACGAGTGCAGCTTCCGAATGGAACGTGATGGATCTGCTTTAAGTGCAGGCCTAAGTTGGTCTCGGGTCAATAGCTTGATAATGCTGACGGGCTTGATGATGGGCAAAGTTTGTTGGATCCAAAGTGGTATCGACTTCTGAAGACGGCCTTTCACATTGGAAGTTCAATTGTCCATCGGATTCTCCTTACTGACTGCATTCCGTGGACTCTGTGGATGAACTCGTTCCACCTCCAAAGTTTGGACTGGTGCATCCAACCAGTGGAGACTGTGTGGGGAGTCATCCGCTGAGGGGAACCCACCAATGTGTGGACGAACAGTGAGGATGGCAATGTGCTGCAGCCCAGTCTGCTAGTCGTCAAAAGTGTAAATACGTTTTGGTAGCTCCGGCGCTCCACACGCAATGTAGGGATGTTTAACCCGCGACCCCGGTAGGGGGAGGGGCAAAGGGCCCCCCTGTGGTTTTTCGGAGATAATTCAGAAACGGCTGCGAATTTCGACTTGAAACTTTCAGTGCCTCTCCTGACATCAATTTTACACAACTCCTGAAAACATTAGGTCCCAGCTCATCTCAGGTCACCAGCTATAGAGGTCAAACTGAGGTCATGTTCGGCGATTTTTCGTCGAAAAAGTTGTTCACGGAAAAAAATCGCAGAAAATCAGGGTTTCAACTAAGCGACTCAAAAATTGGGCCGTAGGCATAAAATGTATGGCAAACAAAATGGCTATCTCGCAATTTCCAAAATGTAAAAATCTCTAGATCTAGGGATTTTCTAATTCAAAATTTAGATTTCTTGAGATATTTTTGAAATTTGGGGAAATTTTCAAAAAACCGGAATATATGTTAGAAAACCCCTTACTGGACTTACACATGCCAAAAATTAACAAAATATCTCTAAACCTGCCTGAGATATAGCCATTTGAATGACTGAAAAAGTAGCGACTGTTCTTATGATGTCACAATATTTTCGGTATTTGTGCTTGAAATCAGTCGGGATTAATATTTATGATTCTTATCAACCCCTTCGTGACTGAATATGATCCTTTACGTGACTTCAGTCACTTTTACGTTAAAAATGCAAACCGGTACAATTTGACCTTATTTGACCTTCCTGTGACGTCATAGGTCCAAGAAAAATGGTCAAGGAGGTTTTTGTGGATGCATATATCGACACCTTTTTTTTTAAAACCCCACATCTGTTCTCCGGTGAATTTCCGGGAAGCACGAAAGATCTCTTTTAAGAAGTGTCCAATCGTCCGATCCTGATCAAATTTGTATGTTCGTAAGCTTGCTCTGGCATTGCTTGATCTGCCAAGACAGACAAACTTGAGAAAAATCGAGTGACTGTACCTTTTTTGAAGGTTTCTACACAACTTGTCTGAACTCCACGGGAGACCAAATGTGGGGCTTAAAAAAAGGTGTCGATATATGACATGTCTTCATAAAAACTCGAATATTCGCAATTTAATATGCCTTTCCTTACGATTCACCGAAGTGTTTTCTGATTGGTCGAGGATGACCCCTGTTGTGACGCCACAGGTCATCATCCACTCAGGTGACTATCCAGATGCCAGATCTATAATATATATCATATCCAGATTCATTTTGAATACTTAGATTTCATTTTTATGACTGACTTCTCGTCATTGCAAATTGGACTGATTTGACCTTGTTTGACCTCCCTGTGACGTCACAGGTCAAATATCAAGGTCATCGATATCCTATCTTGTGCATCTCGATGAGCTCTTTCGAATGCCGTTTGAATTTTTCCGATCCAGCTATTGGTTCCGGAGATACGACGGGGGCCCTTTTGCCCCCCCCCCCCCCCACCAACAGGACGTGGAACCTGCCAGACCTCAACGGGGCGCGGGTTAAGTCTGGAACTGACCATTTTCTCCAGTCAGCTCATTGACACAAGACAACCAATCTTCGGTCGAAATGATTGACTACTTATCAGGACTAGACTTTTTTAACTGAAACCATCTTCATCAGCCAACAGTAGTCAAACATGACGTCCACCATATGACAGTAGTTACTGACATCGTTCACTCGTCTAGCGTCCAATGATCTTCAATCATCCCTATTATCCATGCTCACCGCGGTACATTTAGCCGTGCCCCGACTCGGTGCCGACCTCAGGCTCGCAGCACCGGGCGATTAGTCCGCCAGAAATAGTGACCGATCAGGAGGACAGACACGGGCGGCTCGGCACGCTCCGCGCGAGCTCTCCGCGGCCGCCGCTCTGACGTCACTGGGGACTATCTGCCGCCGCTCCTCTAACGTCACTGGGGACGGGGTATTACTGCACGGCCCTCGCCGCTGCCGGTGAGGCCGTGTTGGCGGCTGAGAAATGTGCGGCCTACGAGTATATTGCACAGTTGTAGAGGTTGTGACGTAGCTACTACGTTTCAAGCTTTGGTGATCTGCTGTGACATTTATAAGGTTTCCGTTAAAAGGTTTTCATTTGACAGGTCAAGTCGAAGTCGCTAAGTCGGAATGCGTGCTGGCCCATATGTATTACGTAGGGCCTAATGTGGCATGCTTGCTACGCTCCTGCCATTTGGTATCGCCATTGCTGCGTATTCGTGTTATCCTGATGCAACGATCAGCATGCATATTGACATATCAGCCTTTCATCTAATGTGATGGCAGCACCATTCCCGTAACTCCGTCGCCATTCAGGTGGTATAACTTCGTAGTAAGATGTCCGCGCCGGTCAGCAAGATAATAGTTGGTGTAGCATTCCCCCTATCTCAGATCAATAGCCTTCTGACGGGCTATTGATTACTGCCGTGTCGGATGGACGGCCGAGGAGACGGCTAATGCGTAATGCGGCCTCAGCGGCTGACCGGAGGTGGACAGGTGGACACGAGTGGACTCGGACAGGCTGTGGACAGTGGACATAGACAGTGGACTCGGGTAGACACAGTGGACACGTAGTGGATAGGGAGGACGGTCGATCCTAACTCCTTACTCCACCAAACCGGTTCAGATCGGATCGTCCCCCGTTACGGCGGAACGCCGGGACGAAAACTGAGGACGGCACATCGATGTTGGTGGGAGGAGACATCTCTGGACTTACTGCTGCTCAGTGTCAGAGAGGCTGGCATTTCTAGAGGAAAACGGGCATTACCGCTGGCACCTTTGCGTGATGAAATGAGAAGCTACTGGAGACGGCTACGAGCAGGGACTCCTCGTCGTGTGACTCATAATAACTCGTAATTGACTTGGTTCGTCGATTAGAATGTGCGTGGCATGACCGTAGGACGAAAACACATTAAATTTGTTTCTAATCCATCCAAAGCACAAGCATACCAACCACGCACCAACATAACCTTTTCATTCCCGCTTATATAACTCAGTACCTCAGGTCGCAATGGTCCTGTTTCTTCACCCTGCCATTCTGTTTTTATACGGATCACCGCGTCTTCGATCGTCGTGCCCCCATTAGTCGCCGAGCTGCCAGCCAACCCGAGCTGTCAGCCAGTCCAGACTACTGGCCAACCTGAGCTGTCAGCCAGTCCAGACTACTGGCCAACCTGAGCTGCCAGCCAACCCGAGCTCGCTGTCAGCCAACCCGAGCTGCCAGCCAACCCGAGCTGCCAGTCAGTCCAGACTGTCAGCCAACCGGAACTACCACGCAGTCAGCTCAATATGGTCGATACGGTGCCGCAATGGCGAGTCGCGATGGCGCAGGAGGTTGAGGAATTACCTGACCTGCCTCACCCCCTACACACATACCCGTAGAGACGGAAAGAGACCCGGCATTGATAGTGGCCCGGTGATCACGACATTTGACCTCGATTTTCCATTTTATATTTGCCCGGGGCCGGTCGATTTCGTCGGCCAGCCTCGGGCACTGCCGGGCGCGGTCTGGATAATGACAGATCATATGACAGGTGATGACAGGTAGTGGCAGGTCCGCTGTGACAGCTGTCAGCGGCGCGGCCGTCCGCCCTGACAGCTGACCGCCCACACTGTACGCCCGGCGGTAAAACACTGGATCACAGACCGCCGGGTCTGTGGCGGCAGTGCCGTCGGTAATGGAACGTGTCCGGTCTGGCTATTCTGTGGGACTGGTGCTGACTTTATCGCTGCGGTGTTGTGCCAATTCAGGCACTGTGGAACACCCAGCAGCTGTGCTCATACTCTATGTTGTGGACATCAACGTGCAAGCCATCTAAGATGCAGTTTGTTATGTTGTCTTTCAGTTAACATGTGTCCGTCATTTTTCAGCAACGCGCCGTGAAGAACTTCAGCCAGGTCCATCCCGAGTTTGGGCGGCGTATCCGCGAGGCTCTCACCCGGCTGGAGGGTCCCACGGCCGGCCAGCAGCTCTCCAGCCTCTAGGAGGTCACCTCTGAGGTCACCTCTGAGGTCACAGGGGGTCGCTGGAGGTCACGGGGTCCTGCCGGCCCACCCGTGGCGGCGGAACTGTGCGGGTTGTCGGGGTATGCACACAGAGGGACGCGGCGCCGGCTGGGACGGGTAGTGCCAGCGGGAGAGCCGACCGTTCCCTTACTGATGGATCATGCGGTCTGATGGTCCTAACTGCGTAATATATCAATGGCGGGTATTGGGTGTCAGTTAACGGCGGAAAACCCAAGGTTTTCTGTGTTTTGTGTATGTTACCAATATTATTCATGCGAATTATTGCTTAAGATAGCTAGATTTAGAATGTGCACATTTGTGGGATCACTGTGTGCGCTTTGTGTGTTCTTCACTGAAACGCGTTAAACGCACCGCTTGCCAACGAGATTCCGCTGTGTTTCCCCCGTGCAATTTGGCCGAGGCAATTGTGTGTCTTGCGTACGGCTTCAGTTTCAGCCTTAGTTGGTATCTGTGTTGTGCCTGTTACCTTGAAATGGGACTTTTGTCCTCCATCAGCGTCTCGACCTTGAGTGTATAACACGGAACAGTCTGCTGAAACAACAATTGAGCTTAACAAGCGCGGTGATTTGATCAGAAGTGTAAGGACCTTGTTGGGACCTTTGTGGTTCGGCTTTGTGTGCAGTGCCTGCTCGGAACGAGCGACGGTATGATTAGAAGCAGCTGTGAGCTCTGCTCATGTCACGGGAAGCCGACCCCACTGCCTGGGTTCTGTGGTATCAACAATGGGCCGCGGTGACCGCGGTCGTGCGCAGTGTGCATTATCCAGGCAAATCCGCGTGCGCCGGTCACGATTGTCGAGTCGTTTCCTGATAAACGGGTCTCGTATGTTGACTGGCAGCCACTGAATGGTATTGATGGCCTTTGGAGATATAATAAAACGTCGGGGTGTAGCTCTTTTTTTCTGTTATGTGCCTTTTCCATTTTACTCTTTCGCAGTCATGTTTTGCAGTGACTATTTTTTTTTCGCGAATACAGGTTAAAATGGGGAAAGAGAATATTCATAACATGCCTGTAGCATCGTACGGAATATTTCATCGTGAACGCCCACTTTCCACTTACTAGAAAATGCCAAATGTAATGTAACATGGATCTATCAGCTACGAACTCTGCACCAATAACCTGATTTTATCGGGATTTTTTTTCCCGGACGGGACCCGGTGGCACTTTCGAACCCTCCCGACTGGCAACCGCAGCTCATGGTATACCATTCGTCCTTCATCGGGACTTTCCATTAACTAGTTACATGTGTTATCATTTCCAGAAATACGTAAGGTAGCGATATTTCCGAGTGTATCCGGCCCCCATGCCGTGACCGCCGCTCATACTCGGCGTCAGTGGCGTCCGCCGCCCGCACGCGCAGAGCTGCTCGCTGCGGGTCTGTGCCCCCTCCCCCAGCCCCCACAGCGAGACGAGTCGGCTAGATACCCCTCCCCATCCTCCTAGAAAACGACTCTCCCGGGTCCCCGACAGACGCCAACCGCGCTCCCCAGTCACCCGGCGAGCTTGTGAAGTGTCAATGCCGACCGATAGATGGCACTAGTAGTAGGCGCCTGGAATGATACTGTGCCGCAGCACTCTATGTGTGGCTTGCAGCGAGTGGAAGGCCGAGAGTGTGTAGGAATGGCCTCAACCGGCTTCCGCCGGACCCGATGCAAATTTGGGATACGATATTCTTCCTCTTCTTACATTGCGGTGCGACTTGCTTATGAATCGTTTCTTTGCGCCAAGCAGTCCACCAAGAAGTTGAGAGGTCTGTAATGTCATTAGTTCGACGAGTTAATGTGGAAATAAAATGCTACCTTCTTTTTGCTCACCATGCATAGAAACACAGAAACATGAGACGGCGGCCCTTGTCAATGGCAGCCATTTCAGGGCCGCTGTGAGCGGGTGAGGGGGCCGGAGGGGAGGGGAGGTGGCATTATGGCATAGCTCAAGAGGTCACGACTGGCGCTGAATAAACGGCAAGAACTAACGGTTGGGGGCCCACCACTCAGTGTCTGCAGCCTTCCGGAACGCCGGACAAAGCAGCCCACTCGTATAAAAGCCGAGCGGGTCCAACGACTGACAGTTCGCTAACTGCAGAGAGCTCAAACAACCACCACTCCAATCATGAAGGTAGGCTGTCGCTTCATTGTTGAAAAGTACGAGTAAAAATCTATCTCAATTTATGTAAACTAAAAAGTTATTTGCTTGATGTTAAATTTTTAATGTTATTAAAGCTTATTTCGATACGTACCTGATTTAACCCTCGCCGGCCGAGGGGGGGGGGGCGGGTGCCGCCCCCCCCCCATAGGGTTTTTTCGCGATAGCTCCGAACACGCTGGCGATAGAGAGCTGAAACTTGGCATACCTGACCTTTGATCCAAGCCGCATCTTTTGACACCAACCGCATTTTTGGGTCAGGTCAGGTCACTGACCTATGACGTCATAAGTGAACCTCTGCACGGTCTTCAGATATCGCAACTTCGCAACGCCCTCACTGCCAGAGGAGATGTCACAGGGAAATGAAACTTGCAGGATCTAGTATCCATTATGAGTCTCACAACTTGTATATCTCGGATTTTTCCTAAAGGTCATATGAGGTCAGGTCATTTTCGTGACCTCACCATTATAAGTCAATGGGGAAAAATTCAAACTGCTATTCTGGCGCCGGGAACGATCTCCAACTATCTCAAGCACACAGAATCGTGATTTGATGCACTCCTTGCAAGGTTAAATGCGTCACTTTTGCAATGTTGACCTTCCGTGACGTCATTTATGACGTCATCAAGGTCATATTAGTTTTTCGTCAATAACTCCCGATCAAATTGAGCTAGCGAGTCGGGAAAGCCACCAATGGACTCTTTTTTTTTTTTTAATATTTTTGGTGCCCGACCCGGGCTTTTGTCGTTAGTAGCACACATTCATACTGGGTTAGTACACTATATACACGGCAGTGGTACGAATCGTTTTCGGCACCCGCTACGCGGGACAGCCTTGACCGCACGCTTCCTGTCACGCACCCCAGGTGGCACCGCAATGGTACGCACTCTGGGGCTATCCCGATTTCTCGGGCCCGGCAGGTCAGAGGGCTGCTCCGGGACATGAGGCGAGGCCGTGCCCTCGGGACATGTCACCGGACCGAAGGATCTGTTTAAAGGCGGATCAGGCCCGTGTACCTGCGGCCGGGGGCGCTGGCTGGCACAGCGGTAATCCCCACGACCGAGCGAACACTCCCCAGTTACTGCCATCTCCTGGGTAGGAGCCGGCCGAGGAAAACGCTGCCAGAGGTCAGCTTTGATCCAAGGACCTCCCACGCCAAACGTGAACGCACTTGCCAACTGCGCCACGAGGGTGGTCTCAGGAAGACCTGCCAAATCGAATGATATGCAACATGACCTCTTTCGACCAACTTCGTGACCTGGGGGTGCTGACCTGACCTTGACCTGAGGTCAACACCCTAAGTTGACCTGATCCGAACAAAAAGTATATCATTCGACGCGCCTGAGCAAGGCGAACACGATGCTGCCAAAATCGCGGCTCTGCAGCCGTTTTTTGCGAAGTTATTCACCAAAAAACTGAACCATACCCTGGGGCACTTGACCTGACCTCAGAGGTCACCGGTTGACCTAGGACCTTAAAATCGGGTACCAATCTCTGCGTCTCGTAACGGCGCACACGCTCGTTTTTTTCCGCGACGCGCTAGCTCCACCAGGGGCGAAACGGCGAGGGGGGGGTCGTACCCGCCCCCCCCCCTCGGCCGGCGCGTATGTAGAAAACCAATAGGTCCGGCGAGGGTTAATAGACGGGCTTAGTTGAGATGGACAGATGGAAACAGACTTGGTTATTTTTTACGTCGCTGCCTTCATGCAATCAATACTTAAGCCGAGAAACCAGAAGAGAAATGATGAGATCAGCGAGGTCCATGTCCAGTGCCATATCAACACGATTGTCTTTCATCCCCGTACCAAGCGAGTCTCACAACTTCCTTTTTTACTCTGCCCTTGCTGAAATTGCTCCATCATTCTAAGTTTGTGCGTGCCCCTCCTCAGCTGGTGTTCCTGCTCGCCTGTCTTCTGGCGGTGGCCGTCGCCAGCGGCTATTACGACAATGACGACTACGATTACGGTTACGGCTACGGCCGCTACTACCCGGGCCGCTACGGCGGCTACAGCCGACACTACGGGTACAGTCGGCACTACCCCAGCTACGGCCGCGGATACGGATACAGCCGGCATTATGGATACAGCAAGCACTATCCCACTTATGGATACAGCAGGTGATATCCGGGCGGTATCGAGACGGAATGACCCATGGTTCTGGCGCTGCAATGATCAAGGACTTGCCCCCGGATGATGGTCGATTACGAAAGAAATCGTGAGTGTATGGTGAACTATACGTTTTTGACTGGCTTCTGGCCATATGATGTGGATCCAATTGTTTTGGATTTCTCCAGAACATTGAGCAATCAACAATGCCTTTCTTGCGCATCTTTCTTTGCTTTGATACGTACTTGTTTCCACGTTGCTGCATTATTGAATAAATGTAAAGTTTCACTAAGCTTCATTTGATGCTGTTTTATATAGTGTTTTATCACCATTCAGCCTCTTTCATATTATAAAACGACAATAAATAAAGAACATTATATCAGGAAATTGAAAGTGACCCGTGAGATGCTGACCACGAAAGCTCGCCACTCACGCCATATTCAGAAAACACACTACATATTACATTGTGTGTTGACGCAAAGAACCTGCTACAGATGAGAATGGCACTCAGGCGTCACTAACCCTCGCACGACCAGGCCATTTCTCATAACACGAACGACCAGGGGGGGGGGTTACGACCCCCCCCCTGGCGTTTCGAAACGGAAGGTCGTAGAGCTTAGCGGAAAAAACCAACGGATTGCTCTCAACGAGATCTCGCGATTGGTGGTATATTTTTGGTCCTAGGTAAACATTTGACCTACTTTTGACCGGTCAAAGGTCAAATTTTCGGAAAAATAGACTTTTTTCAACGTTCGGCGGCGATTGCGGCAAAACGGTGGGAGATATCGACTTGAAACCTTCACTATCGTGTTCCTTGATCAATTCTCTATCGTTTGGTATGTATTTCGTTTCCCTAGCTCTAAAAATGGCGCGTTGGGAGCGCCGGAAGTCGGCAAGGTCACAGTCGGCGGCAGAAATTCGAAAAATCAAAATTTAAATTTTTGAAATCTGATTGTATTTTTGGATTTCGGAGGTCCATTTGCTCCCTATAGAAGCTAATATTGCTGCATATTCCCATTGAGGTGACAAGAATTAGCAAAATAGTGGTTCGGGCGCTTTTCAAAAATAGTACCGGACGCTGTTCCTCTTGTGACGTCATAGCTCCGTGACCTGACCTGACCCGGTCAAATTTCTTATACCATATGATAGCCAATACTTGCCCTAACATGCATGGGAAGTTTCATCACGATCCATCAACCGATGTCCGTACCACCGGCAGGAAACCTCGGGCGTTGGCACTCAGTTTGTGAAAATCCGGCCGGAGGCTGTACCTCTTATGACGTCATAACTCCGTGACCTGACATGACCCGATCAATTTTTTTCGGCAAAAGATGCGCAAAGGTTGCCCCAGAGGGTATTGAAAATTTCAGCCCGCTACAACAAGCCGTTTAGCGTGCACTTCGAAAAAACCTCAGGGGGGGTTGATACACCCCCCCCCCCCCTAGGCGTTCTAGGGTTAAACAATGCGTTTTGGAGGTGCGTCCTCTGGCATGTCCATCTTCATGGGTAGAGTTCCTGACCATAGACTCCGTGGGCGAAAAAAGAAGGCTTACGCTTCAAGATGTCATGGATACCACAGAAAATAAGCCGTAAAGGTGTGATACACAATATTTGAAGATTTATGCGTATTTCTCATGAGACGGACAAGTTGCTGCCAGTCCAGTCAGCAGCAAATTTTTAATGTTTATTCATAGATATCCCTGTATGTACGCTGCACACTGCACGGTGCACAGAGGGCACAGAGGTCCATGGTTTATTGCTCGAAAAAGATTGAGGCTAGGAGAGAGGCTATCAACTGCATATGCATTGAAAACAGCTATGCATTAACCTTCCAGGCGGTGGGGGGGGCATTTTTTTGCCCCCCCCCTTTACTTTTTTCGATATATCTCGAGAACCGCTGCGCCGATCGTCACCAAACTTTCAGTACCCTCCCGGGAGCAGCTAGCGCACATGGTGACCAAAAATTTTTCCAAAGGCTATGATAGGTTGGCCGCTAATGACGTAAGAGTGACGTCATTTTTGCCATTTTCGACCCAAAAAAAGGTTTCGCGGGAAGAGCTGTCAGGCCTACAGCTTTAGAGATACAGAAAAATGTTTTAGATATAAAAGGTGTGGAATCAAAAGGGCTACAAAACTGCTATTTCGGTTTTTCGAATTTTTGGATTTTGACCCCCAAAAATAGAAAAATAGATTTTTTGAATATAATAGCCAAAAAAATCCAAAAAGTTTTTTGAATTTCGAAAAAACCGGAATATATGTGATAGTCCCTACCGCCTTCTATCTACATACCAAATTTGAGATCGATACCTCGTTTTTTGGCCAAGTTATAGCGAAAAAACTGTTCAAAATTGATGACGTCAAATTTTCAAACTCAATTTTTAGCAATTCTAGACCTTGTAGCGCAAAACAAAGACCACCGTTAGACTCCCCGTGACGAGCTGCATCGAATAGATACCCATTTTATGCAAAAATATCAACTTTGAAATTTGACCTTTTTTGACCTGACCTTGACCTGACCTCCACCAGAAAGCGACCTAAACCGTACCTGATGGTCTTATAACCAACACCATTGAGTTGGAAATGAAAAACTGGCCATAAAACATGCATCACATAACCTTAGTAAAGTTGGGCTCATGTGGTGACCCTTGGTGACCTTTGGTGACCTGACCTGTGACCTGACCTGGTATGACCAGTGACCTCTAATAGCAACATATGTACTAGACAACTGACGCCTTATCGCTGATTTTCGACAAAATGCGTTTTACTCGGTGTTATAGCGCTTTCCCTAGAAGCCCTGTGAACGGTGAAACATTTTATCTTTGACCTGACCTGTGACGTCATCGGTGACCCCGAGGTCAATGAAATTTGGTTTCCCTCGACAAATTTGACAGGGCTATCGAACGCCGTTTGAATTTTCCAGATCCGTCCAGTAGTTTCGGAGATACGGGGGGGGGCAAAAAAGTGCCCCCCCCCCCCCCAACGCGTGGAAGGTGGCTGGTAGGCCCACCGCCTGCCGGGTTAAAGGGGACCTAATGGTGTAGAAATATGTTTGTCAGCTTGAAAAATAAAGATAAGAAAATAAAAGGGCTGTAATATTACAAAGTTGAAGCATCGGATGAAATGAACTCTGCAGGGCATCAGTGATAAAATGTTCAAGTGTTTAACCCGCGACCCGTTGTGGTTATTGTTGTTGTTGCTACTCCCGGGCGACCTCTAGGGTCGCCCGTCAGCCAGCGGCTCCAGATGGCTTCTGAAGCCGCGGACCAAGGCCGCGACGTCGTCGCCGTCGTGCAGATGCGCAGGCTCCACGTGGATGTTGTCGAGCATATGCAAGTCATGGCCGGACTCTTTCTTCCGGCGAATCTGGGGAGACCAAATGTCGAGCCCGGTCTCCGGCGTGAGCAGGAGCGAGGCGGTGGACATTCACCAGCTGCGAGCCGGTCACTGGGGAATGGCCAGGCAGAACCCCCTCCCCCGTTGAGGTCTGGCATGCTGCAGACCCTTTTGGGAGGGGGAGCAAAGGGGGCAAAGCTGTTTCTCCAGAATCAGAAAGTCGGATCAGAAAAATGCAAATGGCGTTCGAATTTTGAAAGATCTAATCGTGATGCACAATTGCACAATTTTAAGTCTCGATGACATCCATTTTGTGACCTGTGACGTCACAGGAAGGACAAAAGGGTCAAATATATACCGGTTTACAATGGCATAGTTTCTAGCACATAAAATGGACTTTTATCACGTAAAAGAGGCGAGACTTTTATTTTCAGTCTGGAAGAGATAGATAGTTAGCAAAGACTTTACCCATAGACAAAGTACAAGAACAAATGTTGAAAATAATGCAATGTCATAAAAAGGTTCACAAAATATAGTCTTTCGATTATTTATATCTATGGTACTGTTAAAGCTATTTTGTTGGTTTTTAGCATGTGTAAAGGCAAAAAGTTATTCTCTGACATATACGTATTCCGGCTTTCGGAAATCTACCAAAATTCCAAAAATATCCAGATAATCTAAAATTTCAGATAAAACACCCCGAAACCTGCATATTTACCTACATCTTTTGAAAACTTGGAGATAACAGTTTTCTTTGTCATGTTTCTCTTTTTTACATACGGCTCGACTTTTGAGTCTCTATGATGATGATATATGATCTTCTGCCTTTTTCCATGAACAACTTCTTACACCAAAAATGGATTATGACCTCAGTTTGACCCTATAGCTCATGACCTGAGATGACCTTAGACCCATTTGTTTTAGGAGATGCGCGAAACTTATGTCCAGAGAGTTGCTGAAAACAGCGAGACAAAATTCATGACTAATTTTGTAGCTATCTGAGAGAAAACGCAGGGGTTCCTTTGCCTCCCACCCCCATGGGTCGCGGGTTAATGCTTTTGGAGACGCCATGAACAATTTGATTGAAAGTGTGAATTGGCTTTTGATGTATCACTGTCGAACATAAACAAAAGATACTTTAATTCTTAGTTCGTTTCTATTACATGTCTTTCATGTGAACTATTGCTTCTAATCACGTATATACCTTTAACGTGAACGTTTTACAGTTAACATACGATTGGATTAGTTTTTATCACCTGAAAATAGTTTGCGCTCAGTTTTTAAAATGCTTTACTCGTCGACAAGTTTTCGCTGTTGAGGGAGGTGGGAGGGACACTCCCACCTTAACATTAGTTTTGAGTTGAGATAGCCAAATTGGTGGCCATGGCCTGCAAATACCGGTTTGGGCACTCACAACATCGAAAAATGCTTTAATTCGAAGATAAAGAATTTCAAACTTGCAGTTTTCGGATTCTAAGGGGCTAATGCATTGGAATGCCCCCTTAGAATTTGTGACGTCAGCGGAGATCTAACGATTTTTAAATCTTAGACTTAGACATCGTTAACAAGTGGTGGTATACGCTGCTTTGCGCGCAACGTCTGCCGCACTTTAAGGCTGCCAAATTATTGCTTCCAAATAAAGTCGCTAGTAACAGGGGAGATCCCAAAAAGTAAACAAAAGTAAAAGCCTAATATCTTGAAAACCAGTGAATATTTTTCGGTGAAATTTGGTAAATATTCGTTTTCGCTCTTTCTGAACCAAGGGACATCACTTTCATGCCAATTCATTAACTTTTTTGAAGGTGGGAGGGTCCCTTTAAGCCATAAAATTAGCTGGCATTAAAGTTCCATGTTTTATAATATACTCTATTCACTGTTAATTCACTAAAATATCATAGTTCCACTAGCAGGCCAGAAATAAGTTTACAAAAAAGGCCAGTATTTTATGGGCGTGAGCATGGCGTTCTTTATCAAGACGTGTACATATATTCCTCGCAATCTTTGAACTTCTCGACCGATGTAATATAGCACATTACCAC